TCGAAAGTCGCGCGCCGAACGTAATTGCATAAAAACTTTGAATCTATCCGGACTTCTCATAACTCTATAGGTCTGTTACGTTGATCTGGACACGCTACATCCTTTTGCGCGAGTCAAACATTGCTTAGAAAGAGTTGGCTAATATACTGCTAAATTCTCTCGACCATTACCTCAACGAGTAACAATTGAACCCAATCATGCCCCACAGTTGCCCTATCAGCGCCTCCGCGGACTCGACGCTATTCCGCGAGGCATTCATCGGCTACTCTTGCGGTGAAGCACGTTCCTTGTATCTCTCAATCGTCAGCGAAGTAGGCAGGCAAGACACAGAGGTTTGCTCTCCTGCAGGGGATATTCACGCAAGTTTTGGAAGCTGCTTAACGGCCAAGTGTTTGCTGTCTTTCTCCTCGGCACGGGTGCGGTTTATCACCTTTAGCTCTCTCATAATGCTTCCACTTTCAGTTTCCCGCCTGTTTCACGTAAAACTAAACGTATTCTCCATACTTCATGGGGCGTCCACCGCTACCTCGATAGATTTAGGTTGGACGTAGAAGTTCTTGACCCATTTAGAGATTTGGTAACTGTGCATGCCTCCAGGAGAGGGTAAGACGCCATTGTGGCGATAAGAGCCCTTAGCTTCCTTTCTGCCAATTATCAACTTCTTGACTGCGAGAGCTTCAAACGCATTCCATTTAATTAGGCGGTGCAAATATCTGTCATACTATTTTATGCGCTGAGATGTCCTCATTGCAAAGGCTATACACATGTTGTTAGTCTCACACCCGACCTTCTAGCTTGAAGACTGCTAGAGAGACGGAGAGCTGCTCCGTCTGGATCATGGCCTATGGCGTTCCCTGTCATAATGTTGGGTCTTTCCGTCCCGGGTTTCAATAATCCAGAAGCTCATAATCAGCCAGCTCATCTGCTCCAACACAGACTCTCGGTTAAATTCTCTAAAAGGTATCTTGCATGCGTTGTCTCACAACTCATGAGCGTCCTCAGGCATTTAATAGCTGCCTACAATTCTATATGCCCCACTTTGCCCCCTAATTTCGTCTGGAACTACAAAGCAGATATGCCTTTTGAGCTGGTCAAGTTGTCCCAAGGACAGGCACTTGGACATTTCATGTTCCACCCTCGCCGAAGAATATAATTATTGCACGACTCGTTCGTTAGCTTAATTTCAGATGTTGCTTGTGCAACGGGGTTGTCGTACACTTTGCACCGAGGAAGATTTTGTGCAAATAGTTTACGTTACAAGCGCACAGAGGTAAATCATGCTTACTACAACCAGAGGCGGAGCAGAGAGCTGAGACCCTTCAACGTAACTAGTTTTCTTACTTCTATTATTTTTTCAATTTTTTCTTGTTACACTAATTATAAATATACATGTTTTATCTTCAATTAAAATATACTGTCAACATTGCTGAATGTGTAGCTTGAGGCCCACGTGCATCAAGCATATCACCATTTTGAAGCTGCTTCATTTTCATACATACCGATGTTTCGGTGCTTATACAGTTGTACAATTTCTACGATGTGCCAAGTATTTTTAACAAGTTGGTGCATTATTGTAGTAGTACAATTGATCCAAAACTGTATGATTTAAGCTTCCACGTCTGAAATACTTCTCCGGTACTGCTTCTGCTTTAGAGTAGCGATCCAGGTGTGAAGCGCTCGGGTCTCCCGTATTCAATCATTCTCATCTTGTAGCATAAAAGCGCATTCGAGGGATGGCTTCAGTCAGTATCGGCAGCACGCTGAGACCCTCGAAAAAGTCGACATGCTGTAGAGACCACGATGGCCATCGATCGGACCGCCCGGTCTGATCAATGTATAAAAGATGATTTAGTCTAATTGGAGCAGATGTCAGACTAGCAGGTTTATCTATGTTGTGAACAGTACTAAGAATCACCCAATATGCTATATTCAGTCAAGATGCCACTCTGGCAAGATTGCCGCGGCAGCATTGCCACTGCCGATTGGCGCACTCTGTTCTTAAAATCAAGAAGCGCTTTTTTCTCACTAGTGAGTAGAAATCAGCATTGATCCACGCTCAAAAGCTGCTTGAAAACGCTGATGAAGATAAACAAGGCAGCCGACAGCAAACACTCGGGTGGAACAGCTCAACTCAAAAACTACGCTGTGCTCTGTACATTGCAAACTGAACACTGACTTACACTCTGATTGGAAGTCTGGTTCACTGTGTTGGCTTATCAGCCATAAGTAAGGTGAGACGACAATTTGTATGCGAATCGAGAAAATCGCCAGCACTCAGTACCAGAGGTACAATCCTTTATTGAAATTACGTATTGACTGCTGCATCTGGCGCAGGTGGTACCTTCTGAAAATGTTGATGAACGCGGTCAGTAAACACTCTCGTGGAAACGTATGAGGGCTTAATTCGTTCTCAGTCTGAGCGAAAGGCCCATTTCCATAGGAGTGTAAGCATTCTGACGCAGCGCGGCGTGCGACTATTGATAGCTGTCATCCATTATCGCGACGTTAGTCTGCAAAATTTGCTGCGACCCTTGCTCTTGCAGGCAAAGAAAGTCAACGTGCTGAATTAGATGAACCAAAAAAAAGAGCTAGGTACCGTCATGATTTACGCGGCGTAGCGTCGTGACACACACCGGCATAGCTAACGTGCGCGAAATGCGAAGCCCGTACATTAATAGAAAACGCCTAATTGTCAGTGAACGGCCTTATCGTATGTCTCTAGGTGAGGACAGGAGGTGCTGAGTCGGGTTTTGGAGAGTCACCATGACTACTCTGATTGAAGAACACTTAGCAGGTAAAGGTAGGTTGTTTGTCGAGGAGATAGTTTTTTTTCATCGTTGAGTCACGCGAACAAGTTTGAAAAGAAAACTACAACAATAAATATGCTTGTGTGAGCTGGTACTGGTAGGCGCAACGAGAGGAGATCAAGTCCCGGTACAGTGAGTGCTCGATGAGCGCTGCTGTAATTTAAAGTGACAGAAATCTAGGTTTATTCTAACTATCCTCATTTTTATTTACATACGTTTATGCACCAATACAATGCTAGCTCTGAATATATAGTGCGATATTAATTTGTACAAATGCGTGGAAGTGTGTATATATATACTCTACAGTATGTACCCAATTACAAATCTGTATCCACTCATCTTCGTTCCGTCCCGAAAAATGCACCAGACTAATTGATTAGAATAATCATATCCATCCAGCCATTTATCATCACCGAAGTCTGTGTCACTATCCGTCATCGTGTTCAAAAATTGATGAAGCCCCATGATCTTCAACATGTCCAAACCTAGCAATTATATCTGTATATACCAAGTGTAATATCACTTAAGCAGACATGTACCTATTCATAACCTGCAAGGTTACTATAAGCGTTATCGTTGATGCTGTCTATTTTCAGTCGTATAACATGATCACACTCCTTTTAGAATCTTGATTTCTACTAGACTCATCCTAGTTTATAGAACTTTATCCATTAGAACGATGACCACAGCCATTTCCGCTGCGTCTTCCTGGTCTTCACTACAAGCAAAAGTCACAATGCCTAGATCAAGATCAAAGACGCGTTCTATATGGAGCACGGAGGAATTTGATGTTACATCTAAACCGAGTAATCAATACGTAATGCTAGATAGTAACAAGAAGCAGCAAGAGGTACTTGGACACTTGAACATCTTTGTAATCAGGAACTAGTGATTTAAAGTGTTTATCTGGTGTAGACTAAAGACATGGAACGTATAATTCACGATATTGAAACACAGCGACGATACCGCACAATGGGAACTCGATCAAAAATTGGTTTAAAACGGCAGGAAGATGTAAATGTATTTGGTAGTAAAGATCTCTCACCTCAACGAGAAAAACTTTATACATTTGAACTGGACAAAAGTCTGCGTATCAATCGACGAAAAGGTGATAATGCTGATGTCTCCGAATCTTTTCAAGACCAAGTGCTAGCAGAATTACAGAAAATGAAGGATTCCCAACGCCTTGAATTTGAAGCTCTTGAGAGACTACAACGCGAAAAAGACGCAGCTGAGCACAAAGCACGTCGGTTAGAGCAACAACTGCAAAAACACGAACGTCAAGAATCTTTAAAGAAGGACAAATCATTATACAGGTCGGAATCACGAAAGTTCAAGACACGAAACGAATTTACTATTGACCAAGAGAGTAGCGTAACCAAATCTCCAAGTAAGATAAACGAGAATGTATTGAATGAACGCTCTGATGAAGAAGACAATATGTTTCAAGATTGGAGGGATATGACCATGTCACCTCCACCGTATTTTTCCGCTGCTTCGCCTGCTGTAAGTGCTACATTGATCATTAAAGGCTTGTGAACATTAAATACATATCTTTCTATAGACGTCACCATTTAAACGCAGCGCTTGGCCAGCATGGACTGGGGATGAATCATTTCCTTCCAAACCGCGTTCAGAGCCACCAGGTCTCCTTTTCTCTCTGATATTTTGTTACACAAGGCTAATCTTTGTCAAATAGATTCTAGCTCACCCATTGAGACGAAAAGTCTGTCTCGGCGTTCTCATTCTCGTAACAAAGCGCGTAGTTCATCAATTGGAAGGACATTGAAGGACAGTCAAGAAGTGCGACGATCATGTGCGTTCTTTGTAGAAAAAGCTTGTGCTCATGCAGAGAGTGAACAGCTCAAGAAAGAAAGAGCTAAGCGATTAGAACGAGCCCAACACGCTGTACCACCTCGAAGGTTATTGGAACGACAAGTTCTGGCACAAGAGCGAAAGTCGCAACAATCGAGAGATCACGAACGCCAACTAGCTTCTCGAATGAAACAAACAAAGGCACGTCAAGTGCCTGAAACAACATATTTGAGTGTGAATATGAAAGAGGAGGAAGAGAAGCGCAAAGAGCGCATTCGTCTTCGTGCCGAGGATATGATGCGATCTGCAGAATTACCACCACGTCTGGCACGAAGCAAAAACAATGAAAGTGTCTTAGACCATCAAAAGATTCGTCGTAAGTTACAGGCTGCGTCTGAGGAAGAAGCGAGACATCGAAGACAACGTTCAAAATCCGTGCCTGACTTTGACAAGCTTCATTTTGAATGGAAAGAAGCTTTAAAAAAGCGACGAAATGGCGATAAGCAAACAACAAAGAGTGACGAGTTCTTTACGTCGCGTGTTGCAACGCTCTTGGAACTTCAAGATAAGAAGAAAGCACGTAAATTACGATTACAAGCAAAGCAAGATGCGATTCAGCAACATGTCCAACGAGCACGTGATAAATTACTTGCAAGAACTCGTGCGTCGAAGCTTGCAAGTCAATCAAAATCTACAAAAACTGAGATTCTTCGAGCGCAAAAAAAGCGAATTGAAGCTTTAAAACACGAGAAAGAACGAGAACGTCAAGAACGAGAAGCTGAAGTTCGAGAACGACGACGTGAAGAAATAAATCGTCGAATTCGGTCACAAGTTCAACGTTTAGAACGAATTCGAAGGAATGAGTTTGCTGGTACAATTGTCGATGTGACTGATCTCGATAAAATTGCAAAACAAAAGGCACGGGATCAACGGCAACAATTTAAAGAAGCCATTGCTCGCAATAAAGAAAAGCTTCTTGCAGCAACAGCTACTCGTCCAAGTCTAATGGAGCGATTTAGCACTGATGTAAAACGTGAGACACATCGTCGTGCAGCTCTTGAAGCGGTTGTTAAGAGTGTTTTTCAAAAGGATTTTTCAACGTTAAAGGACGTCTTAACAGACGATGAACATGAAGTCGCTTGTGCAATGATTGCTGCTGATAGATTCTGACCATGATTAGATGCCTTACTCGTTTTTATTTCTAAGTTGTAGTACTTTATTTAATAGAAAGTTTTTAATTCTTAAAGATGCGATCATTAACGATTGTCTAATCTGATTCGCATTACGTGACGTCATGCGTCTCTTTGTAAGCGGATACGTGGATTACCATGCACGTCAAACGATTTACATCTTCGCTACCTAAGATTCTACGCGTGGTCTACAACTTTCCAAACCATTTGACACATGATCTGAGCTACGATACTAGATCAATCACGTACCGTTATCTGATGAATCTTTGCTCGAAAGCATAAGCTGACGGTGCATGACTCTTGACCTATCGCATACATCCATGAGACTTCATGGCTTGAAGCTGCCTTGTAGAAGATCATTGTCACGAAAGTCATGGTTTAATTACTTCATGCTTTATATATTATAAATTCGATTAAACTTAGTAAAGACAACTAAAGCCTCGCTGCTCCATGCGTGACGCCGTCCCCGATGCCAAAATATCGATCGAAGAAACGTTCAATGCGCTGCTTAACGCCATTGTTGTAATATTTGGAATTTGTCTTCTTTTTCGGGCTATCAGGCGTTGTTACAATATTGTGTGGGACTGCCGCAACCGCATGACCATGCGTACGTTCTTCTTTCATGGGAGTGGATTCGAGAGTGCGCACTTCACTGGTAAACGCTGGTGTTGAATTCGTCTTCGTGTCATCTTTAAATGCCACAACATAAACTTCATTGTCAGCCAGTAAGCTAACCACGAGCGCGAGAAGCATGTAGAGGAACCGCATGGCGGTTTATAAGTCACTGGTAACTAAGCCGCAGATTCCAAAATGCTGCTTTCAATGATTTCGTTGAGTACCCATGTAGCCAGCCAGTAGTACTCGATACAATCATAGCACATCCCTATCTGTCACAGCCGGATCAGTCTATAAGTAACAGCATCATCTCGTGAGCACTTCATGACTATTGTCTCTTCTGCGTCTCCTTGAAGGAATTGGGTGATTTACATAAATGAAAAACATTTATTGTGATCAGATACTCCCAGTGTATCAAGTCTGGTCCATAGGATACAGACGTTATTCTAATCTGGTAATGGTGCGATAACAAGGACAACTGATTTAGACC